TCACGGTCTGATGGGCCATTTCCATCAGGTTTTCAAAACCTTGCAAATATATAATATGGAAAATGTATTTAATTTATATACATATTATCTAGCAAAAACTAGTAGCCTTTAAATTACGTTGATTAATATGATTTTCTATTTTCTCCATCTCCTATAAATTAACCTACTCTCATCTCAGTTATTCCAAAAACCAGATAATACTTTAATTTTTCAAATCTCTTGTATTATTTTGTCTTCATCAACAATTACCTATATTCAAAGGTCATATTTTTCAAGTTGTTAGGTCAAAATTACATATCAAATTTTCCATGGCTTCAAATTTTCTAAGGATTATTAATATAAATCTACATATCAAATTTTCTATGTGTTTATGCCTATTATAATTAATAAGTTTTTAATCATATTTTTGCTATAGGTAGAGAGAAAAAATATGAAAAAAATATGACAAACAAGCTATACATGAGGATGATGATTTTGGCAATGTTTCAGAAAAGAAGGCAAATCAAATTTCACAATTTCAAGATTAGATGGAAGTTTATAGTAAGAACAAAGAGAAAACAATGTGTAAACATGAAAATAACTCCAATACAAGATAATTGTTTTATCTGAGTCTTCTTTTGAACAAGATCGAAGGATCGACCAGCTACGCGGATATACGAACTGATAATGGAATTTTGTAACTTACCTTTGAAGATGCTTATAATGCTATTTTTTATTTTAATTACATTTATATCCTCAGGGATTTTTTACTTTTTATTTTCTGTTATTTAAGAGCATCCACATTGATGAACTCTCCTTGGGGGTTCACACAAATAAATTTTTTTTTTTTAATTTTTGTTTACTTTAAAAAAAAAAATTAATAATGGACCAACCATATGCTGACACGTGGTGAACCTGGGGTCATCGGGGTTCACCGCGGTGAACTTTTGAGAGAGGGATTCATAGAAATCTAATTTTAATATTTTTTTTCTTGGTTTACGTGTGAACTCCCCCTCATCATCCCTTGATGGGGGTGCTCTTATACTGTAGATTTTTAGTTGAGTTAATTGGCTAAATATTCAAAAAGAATGAGAAACCACCTATGATGGGACAAGTTATTCTCTAGCAACAAATGTACATGGTGTGGGGATTTAGGGTATTAACCTAATTAGAGAGAAAGTGGTGTATATAGGATGTAATTTCACTTTTTAGTTTTCTACCTTACGTTATTTTTATTTTATTTTGATTGTACCAGTTTGATCAAATAATAAAACGAACTAGATTTTGATCCGCCCTTCAAAGGGCGGGTATATTTTTGTTTTATATTTTTTTTTTTTTTAGTTTTGGTCCATATATTTTGTATTTTATATTTTTTAGAAATTTACTTTTTATATTTCTCTTTTTAATCCTATTTGTGTTTTCTTTGTAATCCTATTAAAATAATTGGACTAAACCTATGTCAATAAATTATGGGGGTGATTGGTTGGGTTGTAAGTGCTGACTTTAGCTTTAGTTTTTATCTACAACACTTAAATCACCAATCATGTTTTATCTTATTTTTTAAAGCTACAATCAAAAACTAAAAAAATGGCTGTAAATCCTTATTTTCTAAAGCTCCATCCTTTTTGCTGTAGACAATATGTTGCTGTAGCAATAAATTTTAAAGCTACATCTCTTACTGCTAAATCAAAAAAATCTACAGACTAATTTCTATAGTAAAACTTTTACAGCTACAGTTCAACCAATCATCCCCCATGTATCTATTTTAATAAAATAAATATTAATTGAAGGGCGGATATATTTTTGTTTTTTGTTTTTTTATTTTTTATTTAGTTTTGATCCATATATTTTGTATTTTATATTTTTAGAAATTTATTTTTTATATTTATATTTTTAATCCTATTTGTGTTTTCTTTGTAATCCTATTAAAATAATTGGACTAAATCTATGTCAATAAATTATGTATCTATTTTAATACAATAAATATTAATTATTAATAGCATGTTAATACTATCAGTTAACTATAATAAAAGGTGATTAATATGGTTCGGTTATATAAAAAGTTACAGCTACGTAAAGTTTAGATTTACTTGTTGGAAAGCATATAGTAACGTAAGGAACTTTGAGTAATTCTGTGTATTTTTCATAATTATTTAAGAAATTGTTGAGTTTGTATATATATTCTGGGTTTCATAAATTTAGTTGAGGTAGAGTAACTACGTCGGTTTTGTAAACGTGAAAAAGGGAATTACATAAAACTAAATGCTTTTTTAATGGAGTTCATGTAACTGTTTTTTTGCTAATGTTGATCGTGGCTTATTAGAACTATATGTAGAATTTGGTTTGTTAAAAAGGTAGGGCCAGTTGCATATAAAGTAATATTCTAGGTAAGTATAGGGGTTAAAAATAAGAGTGATTCTGTTTTAATAAAGAAGATATAAATACAAATTTTTATCCCGTTAACTTAACAAAAAAAAAAAGACAATCTCACGATAACTACCACTACCCACGTTTACCTAATAAACTAAATATTCTCCTACTAATTCGTGAGTATCTATCATCACACGATCACAGGTGAATGTAGTTTACATATTCTCCTCTCTTTTTCAGTATATTTTTATCTTCTTTTTTTTCACCATCAGAGCTAAAAACTCTCTCTCTGGCAGGTTTATGCTTTCTATCAGTTTTTTTAATTATACGTCTTCTCTTCTTCTTTAATACATCATCCTCTCTCTTTTTCTGCAGAAACCACATATTGAAGATGCCAGTGGAGTTTACTCCTAGTTCTCAGGTCAATTCTTCAAAAAAAATGAATGGAAAATCAGAATATTGGTCTCAATTAATATATAGGGGATATGACTATTAATGGTTATAAATAATAAAGATTTGTTAAAAATATGTATACTTTATATCATTTTTGTTTAAATTTTAATTATTAAAATAAATTACACAACTACACAAATTATATAAGAAAAATTCAGATTTTTATATATGTTGTATTTTGAAATTTGCAAAACGAGTATAAATTACTAAAACTGTTAAAAATCTCACATAAACTTTTGTGATCAAGGTCTATTTAATTTTATAATAAGTTACAATGATTATAAAATCATATAAATAAATAATTTTATTTTAATAGGTGTTTATGTTAATATATATATATATATCTCATACTGTACGAATAAATAATATTATTTTAAACATAACTATAATTTAAAATTTAATTTAATTTTTTATATAATTATTTTTATTTAAAAAAGGTTTTAAAAATATAATTTCTGATATTATTAAACAAATAAATAAATTATATTAAATTAGTTTTAAAACTTTATATACTCTAAATGAAAATATTCTACCAACTGATCTTAAAAACCATTAGGGAACTTGATAATGCTCTACCAGTTAAATCTTGTGACACTCCGTTTATTTTCCATCACTCGAACACTGAAAAGTGCAAAGATATATGAATCGAACCCATTAAATTTTAAGTTTTGATCTACAGTTCCAATTACAATTGTTTCTGATCCTACGTATAGATAATTATATAAAAACTCCAAAATTTGAAATACATATAAAAACAATCATATGTAAATTTTAAATTTGTCAATACTAAAATGAGTGAGTTTGCTCAATATACCAAAATAATAAGCTATTTAGGGATTTACCATATTTTGGGGGGGGGGAAGTAGTGATAGGGGGAAGAGAGAGAAGGGGGGAAATAGGGTATGAAGTTAAATAGGTGGTTTTGTGTGTGTATGGAGTGCAAATACTCTACTAAAATTTTATACTTTAATTACATACACTCATCCTGCGCAAGGCGCATGTCTTATCCTAGTATATGTTAATCACATTAGGTAATTTCGTAGGTTTTATTAAAGGAAAAAATATATAGAAGATTTAGTTTGACATGTTATTTAGTTTGATATCTTATATGAGACCAACATACCTTATTTTAAAACTATGATTTATATAAGGTGCTCTAGAATCCTTCTAAATTGAAATAAAAGACATAGAGAAGTGCCACGTAAGATGAAGTTATTTTTCAATTAATACAAACTTAAGGTTACAACTTTTCAAATATTTCTCAATTAATATATAGGGTATATAGTGATATACATAATCCAAGTCTGTTTAATTTCCACATCTGGATGCCTCTGATACATAACATAGTTAAAACAAAGAAATATTTGATTTACATAAGCAAACTTGCTTATACCAAAATATAGAATTTTATGTATATCTTCATATAAAGAATAGTACAATGCGAATCAAATATGATAAATGTGGAAGAGTGTAAAATATATAACACCAGATTTAAGTAATATATAAAAAAAATATTACAATCATTAAAATTTGATCCATACAAAAAATAAAAATATCCTTGTGCGGACGCGGAATCATATTGTAAAAATGTGGGTGATACAGTTAACGGATTAAAAACTATAACAAAAATATTCAATAAAAACTATAATTTTGTGTTTATAAATGTCATATTAAATAGTTATTTCATATGGTAAATTTAAAATATATATAATTTTATTTGTACAAGATAAATATTTTTTTACAAAAAGAATAAATGAATATCCGCACGGGTGTGCGGATTAAACTCTAGTTATATTTATATCAGGTACAAAATGCAAGTCAAAGTAACTGATTATACTGAAAGTACATCTTTTATATTATTTGATAGAGAAGTTATACAACTCATTCATAAATCGGCTTATGAATTGTTTGAACAAGATGTGCATGTGTGTTTCCCATTGATTCTTCATGTATTTCAATCAATGTATGATGCATGGTCTGAATATAAAAGAAAATCTCGACATGTTCATCTTCCTTTTCTTTGTTATTTAACTGTGAGAATGAAATTCTTCAAGATCTAATGGATTTGGAAGGTAGAGAGATTGTTTGGATGATTCATGTTAAGAGTACAAAGAAAAAAATACCGGCAACCAAGTTTTAACGTTGACAAACTCAGTGATAAGCATGAAGTGATCCATAATTTTCAAGATAATATGAGAATGGAGGTATGTTTCAAAAAATCTCAAATTTATTTATGGAAGTTACGCTTTGTTTTATCTGAAACATAATTTTGTTTCCAAATTTTAGGTTGTTACACATTCATATTCCCTTTAAGTTTAAGTACATGTTCTGCAATGCAGGTTAAAGATTCATACGAATTTGTTATATAATCATTTATACCGTAAATAACATGACAAACTATATTGCATGTACATTTATTACAGGTGGAGAATACATCTTCAAAAGCAAACAATAAACACTTACCACCTTGCTCTCCTATGACTCCAAGGACAAAACGACAAGTCATAATATTGACGATGAAGGTATTCAAGAAGCATCAACAAAGTCTATGGGAACATCTAAAAAGGGTAAAGTAAAAAGTGGTAACAAATCAAAGAACGTGAAGAAAGAAAGCACAAAGGCAAAGCGTTAGGAGGGTGAGTAGGTAAAAATGATTTTGTATTGGTATTTAATGTAACTTCCGTTTGTACAGAGGATAAGTGTCTTTAAAACCGTGGATATTAATCTTTAGTTATGCAATTTTATTGAATTTTCATATAACTTTTATGTCAAGTAACTTTCATTCAGACAACATACTAACAATGATTATAGATAGGCGTAATTCTCTAGAATAATGCAAAATCATATAAAAGATTGTATAGTGTAAACTATTTATGAGGATGAAATAATTATAGAAGTTGGGGATGTTTGCACTATAGTCCGCTTCTGTAAATCCTCCATCAGATTCTTCATCTTCTTTCATGACATTATGTTTCTTAATCTGATTGATCTTTTGTAGTAACTTCCTCTGCAAGAAAATACTCTCTCGGAGTGATTGGTTAATGAAGAAAAAAAATGTCATAAGGAGGAAATAATTATTCATGTGTTATGTGTTTATCGTTTTCAACATGCCATTGAAAAAAATGTCGTTGAATTTTTAGATGAAGATTAAAGTATTTTAAAACAAGACTGTTTTATAAGGATCCATGTTCACCTCCAATATCATTTTCTTACCCCAGTAAATCAACTATTCATTTTTTCTAGATTATTATTATCTATGTACATTAAAGAAACTCAGACAACTGTTTCTCCTCTACATAACACCCTTCTTTAGATCCTTATCTAAGATTTGATTTTTGTAACATAAAAACTCTGTTTATTTCTCAAGTTTAGTGACAGAAAACATGAAAATCAAACCACTTTCCTTCTTGCATACTACAAAGAAAAAAAGAAGATAATTGTGACCACACCAAAGAGAGTGGAGGATAAATTTGGTAGTAGTCTATAAGTAATCAGTCAAAGATCATTTGAAGCGGCTGTTTACAATCTATCCACACCTGTTAATTCTTCAATTGGTCTTTCATTGGCTGCGACGGCAGTTACACCCAACAATGATCAAAGCAGGAGTAACTTACTAATCATTGATCGTAGTGTCTTTAAAGTGGCAGAAAAAAAATCCTCCAAAACTACTAAAGCTTCTGTAAGTTCTTCATGGGTACACTCTATCAGCCACGGGGAAGGTGCTCACTGTGTTGTTCACTTAGTCCTACGAAATGATTATATTGATGGTGATGCTTTGCCATTAAAAATCGCCAATAAAAGTGCACATCTATCATCTTCTTTCAGTCTTTGTGCTGAAGAACAAATTTTGAAAGATCTTTCATCTCCTCATGTTATAACTTACTATGGTAGAAATATAACACCAGCAGAAACTTTAACCCTAGGGAGCGACTAAAACTTAATCCTTGAGTATTGTTCTGGTGGGAGTATTGCATTTTTCTCAAGTTTAGAGGAATAAGGATGGTGGAGTCCGATGTTCAGTTATTTTCTCTACACATCCGCAAAGGTATCAACTATGTCTCAAAAAAAAACCATCCATTGTGATATTAAATCGGCTAATATCTTGCTCAAACTGGTTAATAGCTCATCTATAGTTAGTTGTTTAATGTATAATGGATTTGAGCCAAATCTTTCCGCTTTTGGTATAGCATTGAGAAAAACCTCAGATGAGTATGGGGATGGTTGTGAGGTTTTCAAGAGGAACACAATCGTACATGGCTCCTCAACTTTTAGTTTCTGAAAATTTGGATTATTGTGCTGATATTTGGTCGTATGGATGCACTATTTTAGAAATGTTTACTGGGAAAAAGCCTTGGAGTGAATTCAACTTAACTGACAGGAAAAAAATTGAAAGATGTTATTGGCAACAGCAATGTCTTTCCGGAAATACCCATGTGGTTATCTGATAATGTGAGAGACTTCTTAGAAAAGTACTTACAAAAAGATCTTTACAAAATATATGATTCTAAGAATTTTGTTGGAGCACAAATTTTTGACTTCAATCTTTGGTCACTTCAACTAGACAAAGAATAGGTTACTGAAAGTGGAAAAATTGAAGCCATGTCTTATGAATAAGACTTTCAAAGAGATTCAAGAAACGTTCGTGAAGAGCTAATTTCTATATTATGTAAATTATGTCTTTATGTTCAGTTTTTTTTGAAGTATCAAATGCATTATCAAATTATTTGTTCAATGTAATATATTGCATTTTATGTTAAATCAAGTATTATAAACGTCAATAGTATTTTAATATGATTTTAAACATGTCAATTAACCAATAAATAATCAGAAAAGAAATAAAAGCATTTGATGATATGCTAGGAATGTTTATTCAAGATTCAGTAAAACTTTGTATATGATTATTATAACATTAATAATTAAACATAAAATATAATATTTTCTAATTAATTTATTCTATAGTGAACAAGTAATTTTTTAAGTAAAATGACTTTAACGGTTAAAAATAAGAAATGGGTTATATGTAAAATTGTACTGAAAATTTTGATGAATTAAAAATACAGAAAAAAGCAAATTAAGTTTCATAATTTCTGCACCCATTTTTATAAGGAAAGTTAAAAATTTCATATTACCAATTTTTGTATAACTTCCTCTTCACAAAGACGAAGTATCAGTTGTTGTAGAAGTTTTGTTCGCAAGTTTTACGTTACAAGTGCTTTTTCTGTATTTTTCAATTGCCTAGTTATTACACGTTTTAAAAAGACTTGCAAGTTTTGTATATGGCTATCACACTTTAACGTAACCAACAACACAAACTGGAAGAATGAAGATTCCCAAACCAAAAAAAAAGGAAAATGAAGAATACAACAACAACATCAAAAGGTAAAATACAATTTGTATCAATGTTATTTGATTTGAAGTACACACTATCAAGTCCAAACAAAAGATGAATCTGCATCTAAATTATAATATATTGTACTATGTTTTATAGAAAACAAAATTGGAAGTTCTACCAATAGTTTTCAAAGAAGATCCAAACATCAAGGAAAAGAGTCACTAACTGATATTATAAATGATATGTGAGTTTACTTTCTGCCATATGACTTTTCCACCTATGTTAACAACTAATATATATCTTTCGTTGCAGCAACCAATATGAATATTCAGGATTTGGAAAAAAATCCAAATACAGCAGCATTCAAATTGCAACAGTCAAAGCAAAATTAAAACTGCAACTGTAAAATAGTGTATTCAAAGAGCATCGTATCAATTATTTTTTCCTATTTTCTTCTCATTTTTGCCTTGATGGAAAGCACATAAAATATAACACCACCCACTTATAACGCGTCCGGATCTTCTTTAAATGTTGTATTAGGTATGCCCCTAAATAATATTTCTACAGTTAACTAACTCTAGAACATATTAATGTTTAGTTTACACAGGGAATGATATACTCAGGGACAGCACAAATCAGTAACTCTACTACTCCACTATTTCATTGCAGCTCTCAAACAAATTCAAATTATTTAAGTAAGTTCATTAAAATATCAAGTTTCATGGTGTGCAAGTTTTATTTTACTTTGTTATTGTTTTAACAGACAATAGTGATGCAACTTGGTTGTGTGAACACTGTAATGCTTTGATGTAGTACAATGAGCGCATAAACAAAAGAAGAATTTGTATACCTCCAAAGTTTTCAGTGTGTTGTATGCATGGAAAAATAGAATTGCATCTCCCTCCAGTGCTGTCTCAAGTACTTTTGGATCTTCTGTTTAGAGAATACAGTAAAAGCATTAATTTCATCGAGAATATAAGGGCATATAATTCAATGTTTTCTTTTACCTCTATGTGTAGAGAGATTGATGCTTCTATTAACAACAGACGTGGAGCCTTTGTCTTTAGGCTTCATGGTCAAAGCTTTCATCAAACTGGAAGCTTGATGCCTGAAGAAGAACTTCCTCCTGCTTTTGCACAGTTGTATATATTTGATAGTGAAAATGAAGTAAGAAACCAAATATAAACTCTTAGGTAGCTCATTAAACTATTAAATATTATATTTACATATTATTAAGGATCAATGTTGTTTTGCCTTTGTGACGTAAAGTACTGTTCTAAATAATTACTAATACATAATCCCTTATATTTCAGTTCAAATAGAAGAGCACAAAATTCTCAGTCTGTAATCCTACGTGATGATATTGTAGAATCTATTAAATCTATGCTGAACGAATGCAATCCTAACGCAAAGATACTCAGAACCGCAAGATATCAATTTGGTGATGTATTACAATCATTTGATGTGAAGATATTTTTGATTTATTGACGTGGAAAAAATTAAAAACCTATAATCTTCCCCAAGTTCTGAAGTTGCTGTATTATTTGTGAGAGATTTTGATGAAGAAGCTGATGCTCGATATATTATTGTGGAAACAAAGGGAAAAAAATTGACCTGGATAAGTGAGCTTCACCCTTCATACTTACCTCTACAATATCCCTTGTTATTTCTATTTGGTGAAGATGGTTATTATATTGATCTACATCTGAAAAGGACGACAACAACGTCAAAAAAACCACGGTCTAAAGTGAACATGAGGGGGTTTTTGCATACAGAGTTTTTGAGCGCTATAACCAATTTCGTGCTCTTATGTTCTCTGAGAAACTCTTTAAGCAATTTCTGGTTGATGGTTTTACAATGATAGAAACATAAATATTTAGATATCTCAAATTAAACTAAAAAGCATTACATGCAGATAAATACATAAATGTTTCAGCTTATGCAACAAGTGGAAACCAAGATTCTACAAAGTGTGGAAAGAGAATTGTCTTACCTTCAACATATGTGGGAGGTGCACGTTACATGCGAGAAAATTACATGGATGCAATGGCTGTTTGTCAAAATTTTGGATACCCAGAATTAGTCATTACATTCACTTGAAATTCTAAATGGCTGGAGATTACATGACACCTACAACAACGACGACTAAGATCTGAAGACAGAGCTGAAATTTTGTCCTATGTCTTTATGATGAAGTTGGATAGTCTCATATTTGAATACACAACAAACACATGTTTGGTTCAT